ATTAGAGCAGACGGAATCAAACCATATGTTATGCCTTGGGCTTACCTTTAAGAAGAGCCAAGGTCTTTGTTCCGACTGAGGAGTCGTTGTGCCTTGGGCCTTCCCTGAGGCTGCACCAAGGTCTTTGTACCGACTGAGAAGTCGGGTGCCTAGGAGACTAGGTCTTCTATTTCCCCTTGGGCCGAGAGGCGACTGTTGGAGTTGGCCAAAGGGTTGTGCCTTGGTTTTATCCTGAGTAGGTACCAAGGGCTTTGAGATCTACTTAGAATGGCGTCGTTCCTTGGGCTTATTCCTGATCAGGAGCCAAGGACTTTGAGATCATTTTTTTAGCTTTCATTAATTGTTTGAAATTTATACATAATAGAGTATAATAGATTCACACTCGCAACTTCGGATGATGCCGAATTCGTACTTTTTACTCAGATGCTTTTTGAGGATGACTTTTTGCTAGTGACTAGGTTACCGAGGCTGAGCTTCTTTGACTGTTTCTTTTCGCTTGTGAATGTTCTTGCCTTGATGAGAGCGAGCCATTGCTTCATTGGCTACCCTTATTTTCCGAACTGATTTTGCTTGTCCACCGTCAGTTGCAGGTCGACGGTGGACATGGTGATTTTCAACAGATATTGCTTGTCCACCGTCGGTTGCTCTGTTAGGCTCGATATTCCGTTGTTTGAGCTTTTTGGAAGATGTTGCTCGACGGAGGGGGCCCAGGCAACTTCTGTGATGGGGGCTTCTTGTTGGAGAGAACCCCATGTGCCGACGCTTTGTTCCCTGAAATTTGATGGGATCATATTTTTCCTCTTAAGGTTTCTAGGGATAGCGACGGCTGGACCATCATATAAATGGAGGAGCCTTCTTGCAGGGAGAGTGCAAGTCACATGCTTTGACCACCAGGTTTTACTTCGACTCTAGCGGTTCTGAGCAGCGACTGGGGGGCAGAGCTGTTAATCTTCCTAAGAAGACCAGATGACGAGCCCTTGAGTTCTTTCCGTTTTCTCACGCTGGGTGAGAAAGGACTTCTCTCATGAAGGTGGTGATGGTCCGGGTGGCTTGCCATAGATTTAATGGCTGTTCCTAGGCCCAAATTGGCTGGCGTGACATCGAGCTTGTACCATTCTAGATCTGATCATAACCCTTGGTAGAGGAAGGGCTCTTCTTGTGATCCAACTCCAGGCTTCCGGGTTGTCCAGAAGATGGAGTTCTTATTTGTGTTCATGTTCAAGCCAGACGAGCACTTTAGTGCTGCATCTTCTTCAGGAGGGCTTTCGGGGTTCTACTTGGAAAATACTCCCCATAATGCCGTTGGAGCCCTAGAGGGCTACACCTACTTCTGGCTCCTCATAGCCATAGACTACTCCTCCTTAGCTTGAGTGATGCGATTTTAGGCTTCACTTAGCTTGAGTGATGCAATTCCAGTAGTGTAAGGATAAACTGGATCAGGCCCCTGCTCAGAATTGGGCATTTCTTCTTAGAGAAAAGAGTGGGCCACACGGTGGGCGCCAAACTATTGATGTCTAGAATCACACAGGCAATAGAGGGAGGTTGTCTACCGAGGGAGGATGATAAAGGATAAAGGGGCCGACTCCCCCTCTGATTTTATGCCTAGCTCTGAGCGCACGGGGTGGACTGATGGCCTGCACACACAAGGAACATAGGGGTACGGGGCGTGTTTCCCCCGTGGTACCTCCGATGGTCAAGTTAGAGGATGAGTTTGAGGAAGGTTTTGGGGAGTGTCCCTGGGCCATTGAGGTCCATGCAGGATCCATTCTCATTTTAGAATTTATTTTTTTAGCAACTTGAAGAAAAGAATGACTTCTTAGTTGTTTAAGTTCAAAGAACCTGAGTCCAAAAAAAGCCTGCTCCTCCCATCATTTCGGATCCATTGCCTCCCTCTTTATAGGCTGTTGAGGGTAGACACATGGCTTTATCAGGGGTCTGAGGACGATGGTGGGGGATGAGCTGGAGGCTGAGTCAGCAGTAGTCCTTTCACGTGTCGGCTGACGACTGAAGGAGATACTATTTCGAGATGATCTCGATAAGGCCCTAGAATTGATTAGATGGCGTATTGCCGAGAATACGGTGACGTACTGAGTCGCCCTTATCTTTACAGATGGCGGTTAGTGATTGGAGGGCGACGCACTTGAGTACAGAAGGCGCCTCGATAACGTCCCAGGTTTGATGGATAAGTATAAAGGGAAGATAGGCTGATCAATCTAGCCACTCATTGCTTCATAGATGGTAGCTAGCGACTGGAGAAATGGTCGTCTGAGCTCAGAGGGTGTCTTGATTACGTCCCAGAAGTGACTTGGGAATAGAATGAGCCGTCTTTGCATTTAAGACTTCGTCAGAGTTTTAGACTTTTGATGTGACTGATCAATACTGTGGTTGATTGATGTATATCTTGGAAATAGCTCAGTTGGATGACTCGGATCTTTATCTTCCCTAGCAGGATTGTATTGGAAGGCGGGTCGTTCTCATAACTTGTTGACTAGATAAGTTAGTCGTTAGTCTAGTCAGACAACTCGGTGGACAGCAGTGTTTTCGCTGAAAGTCGTCTTCATTACTGATTTCATTATAACTTTAGTCCTTTACAAAGAATTCAAATAACAAAAATAAAAATTACAACTCTCTTGAAAATAAACATAAGATCTGTTTATCGGCTCTTGCTTGCGTGGGTTCTTTGCCGGTGCCGGGGTTTATCCGTGGACGACCGCGAATCAGATCCGGTTGGCGAAAAATTGGGCAGAGCTTCTACCTCACCAAGGGGGTATTTGCTTAAAGTACTAAAATCGACCAAGCAAAATCAGTTGCTCTTCTCGAGATTAAGACCAAGCCTAATCTCAAGGAACGGACGTACGGGGCTTCGGATCCTCCGAATGACTCCTCTTCTGTGCTGAAATTTCGTGCTCCTTCACTCTTCAATCCAGCAGCACCTCGTCCTCTTGATAAAATTCTAGATCTGCGAAATGGAGGCCTTGGGCTGATATTTATAGGCCTCGGGTGCGGTTATTTGGATGAGAACAAGTTATTTGGCTCTATCTTTAGTTAACAATAGCCTAATCACATTTGGGGATAATATCAAGTCAGTTAGGAACCCCGGGAACAGATAAATCCTGCGAAAAACCGCTTTAAAACCGCCAAAATGCGTATTGGGCCCCAGACTGCACGACGGACAAATCCGACCCGCGCTTGCGCAGGTCAGTCTGTTCTGTTCCGCACTGGCGCGGGTCTGTCGATTCTGCCGAATTCTCGTTCCGGGCCTTGTTCTTTTTCACCGTTTCATGTATTCGAGCGACTTGTTGATTTGTACGCTTCGTTGCGGGACTGACCGTCGAACGCGCGTTGGTTGACGTACGCGTGTTGATTGACGCGCGCGTGTTGACTGAGTGAGCCTTCTTCACTCGTCCAGTCTTTGTTTTGAGTTGCATGTGGGAACTTATAGACAATTTTAGACGCCTACAGATACCCCCTCCAAAGTGTTTCAGCATCATTCTTTTATAGAGGAGTCTGAAATGCTTTGGATATGATGGGCCCCCACCTTCAGTCGGTGTTAAAGGACCTACAGCTGGTTTCAATTCTTGACTTTTCCATATTTTAGCCTATTCTGTATTTTATCGAATAGCTGAAATTTTTCCCGGTACTGCGTTTATCTTCTGACCGTCGTTGAAGCCTTGAACCGAAATTAGTGAGTAGATTTTGGCTCGTGTCATTGAGTTGACTTTTGAACTAATTATCTACATCGCAACGCGTCGACCGGCGTTGACCTAGGGCTACACGTTGACCTGCGTCGACCTTAGGGTTTCATATCGATCGGCGTTGACTCTCATCGCAACGCGTTGACCGGCGTTGACCGGCGTTGACCTAGGGCTACGCATTGACCGACGTTAACCTTAGGGTTTTGTATCGATTGGCGTTGACTCTCATCGCAGCGCGTTGACCGGTGTTGACCTAGGGCTACGCGTTGACCGGCGTTAACTTTAGGGTTTTGTTTCAATTGACGTTAACTCTCATTGCAACGTGTTGACCGGCGTTGACCTAGGGGTACGCGTTGATCGGCGTTGACCTTAGGGTTTCGCGTCGATCGGTGTTGACTCTCATTGCAACGTGTTGACCGGCGTTGATCTAAGGCTAGGCGTTGACCGGCGTTGACCTTAGGGTTTCGTATCGATCGGCGTTGACTTTCATTGTAACGCGTTGACCGGCGTTGACCGGCGTTGACCTGAGGCTACGTGTTGACCAGCGTTGACCTTAGGGTTTCGTATCGATCGTCGTTGACTCTCATTGCAACGCGTTGACTGACGTTTACCTAGGGCTACGCGTTGATCAGCGTTGACCCTAGGGTTTCGCGTTAACCTGAAGAGAACCAGTTTATACTCGTGTACTCCTGGGAGTTTCGGGAATCAGTTTAACCTCGTGTACCCGTCGGACAGTTTATACTCGTGTACTCCTGGGAGTTTCGGGAATCAGTTTAACCTCGTGTACCCGTCGGAGGTTGCCGGGTTATCCTTAAGAATTATTATTATATATATAATATTCTCCAGGAACTTCCCGTCAAAATGAGGAACAGTTTAGACTCGTATATCCATTGGAGTGTACGTGAGTTTTGAATATTCTGAATATGAGCGAAATGCCTTGAAGCCACCAAAAAATATAAAATCGGGTCTCGAATATTCTGAATATGGGCGAAATGCCTTGAAGCCACCAAAAAATATAAAATCGGGTCTCGAATATTCTGAATATGGGCGAAATGTCGCGAAATCACACAAAATATAAAATTAGGCTCCGAATACCCTAGACATGAGCGAAATGCCGCGAAATCACCCAAAAATATAAAATTGGACCCCGAATACCCTGAACATGAGTGAAATACCGCAAAATCATCCGAAAATATAAAATTGGGCTTCGTATATCCCAAAAATAAGCGAAAACTGGTGAAAACGGCCGCCGGATCACACTCGACCCGCGCACGCGCGGGTCGGGCACAAATCTGACCCGCGTTTCGCGGGTCGGGTGCTGTGTGTTGGGGATTAAAATCCCGATCTCTCTCCCCTTCTTCTATTTTCGGTCCCAGCTTCTTCTTCCCCCTATTTTCTTCTTCGGTCTTCTTCTTTTCAAGAACTCTTCTATTCTAAGAACTCTTCTATTCCAAGAATTCATCTCCTCTAAGAACTCTCAATCTCTTCAAGTTTGGTAAGATCAAAGATTCTTCAGAAGCTCTTGACTTGGCCGAATTTCTCACCTCTTCAAAAGCTAGGGTTTGGCAACTTGTTGATTTGGGTTTGAGCATTGACGGGCTTCTCCTCCTCCTCGATTCTTCTTCAAATTTTAGGTACGTTTCAATGTCTCCACTTTAGTTTTGGCTAAGATAGTTGAAACCCTAGCTCTTGAATTTGGGGGAAAACGAAATTTGATTTTAGGCTTTGAGTAATGGCCGAGTTTCTTGGTTGTGGTTATGTGCATAGCTTGATCATTGAAGCCTTAGTTATTCGATCTTGAGGGAAAACCGAAATTTGATTTTAACTTTGAGTGATGCTCGAATTTTTGGCTTTGGTTGTGTTCATGATTTGATATTGCAGTCCCCAACCCTTTAATCTTGGAAAAAAAAACAAATTTTGGACTTGGGGTTTGAGAAGTTGGTCGGAATTCTTTGAGCTCTATTCTTGAATTTGTACAAAAACCGAATCTTGATTGGATTTTTGTTGATGGCCGACTGAGTTCTTGTTGAACCTGTTCATATCCGAAAATTTTGTTGAGCTTTTGGTCAATTGGTGTTGGTTGAATGTGTGGTTGAACAACTCTTCGAAACATGACCCGACTCTTGACCGAACTCTTGTATGTGATTGAATTCGTATGTGATTCAAATTCGAACTTGCATATAACCGAGCTCTTGTATATGATTGAACTTTTGTATATGATTGAACTCGAACTTGTATATAGCCAAGCTCTTGTATTATTGAATTCATATGTAACTGAACTCGTTTATGCCTTGAATCCAAACTTGTATGTGGTCGAACTCTTGTGTATGATTGAACTCGTGTATGCCTTGAATCCAAACTTGTATGTGGTCGAACGATTTGAATTCGAACATGGCGATTGGTTTGAATTTCTTGGAAGTTTAGCTTCGTATCCTTGTCAACATTAAGCCTTTGGGATACTTGGTTGTGTAGATGACTAAATACCGCTTAATTCTTGTCCACGTTCACGTATGTATGCATGTATGATTTCAAAACTCAATTCAACATCCACGCTTTGATTTCGAATGATTCTGTGAGCTTATAAGCCTGCATGTTTGACGTGGTCGAGACCCTTGGTTTGGCTTTGTAACCTTCGACTTGATCTCGCCCCTGAATTTTCATACTCGATTATGCGCGTGAGCTATGTAGGAGGCGCTTGATTTACTTGACTTGTATATTTGATCTTCCTTTAACTTGAACCGAGAATGTCATATAGGTTTAATTAGACCCTTAACTGGAAAATTCTATTTTGTAGAATTTCAATCAAAGATTCTCAATTTCCCTTTTAGTCTTTCGATTCATGTATCTTGATTCTTGATCTGACTGAGCTGTTGATCTTTATTACAGATTAGCCATGTCAACGAGGAGATCGCGCCTCCCGAGGACCCGCTCAGCTACTCAATCGCCTGAGAGGGAGCATCCATCTTTCACTGGTAAGCTCTCATAATTTCTCGTTTATGAATATAATTTCCTGCTTATGAATCCAATCTTCATTATGTCACATTGCATATTGTACCCCCTCTCTGTCCTCCTTAGTGAGGTAGTCGGGAAGAGCTGATATCCTCCTTTGTGGGGGTGGATGCTTCTATATTACATCCCCGCCCTATTCTCCTTAGTGAGGCAGTTGGGAATAGTTGACATCCTCCTTTGTGGGGGTGGATGCTTATCGGATACGTTTTTCTTGGTCAAAACGCGTCTTAAGGCCATATGGGGCAATTTTCTGCCGTATTACGTTCTGTAAGATAGGGTGCATCGCCGCGTTATTTGCGTGAAGATGTACGTTATCTTGTGAGTTTGAAATACTGCTAAAATCGTCTCATCAATTACAAGATGGTGACTCTATTTCACGGATTGGTGAAAAGAATTCAACCCCCTGTATTGTATTGATATTTCTTCATAAACGCGTTAGATAAACATGCCTTCTTCATTTCAGTTGAATACCCGGCGACGCCATTTTCTCAAATCAAGATAGATGGCCATAGGAGCAGGTATTACACTGCCGTTGATAATCCGGCGTCAATTCCTTCCACTCCTCAATTCGCTTTGGATCTCCCAGATGAATTCTGTAAGCTAGTACGGGAGGGGGGCCGTCATATCACGTGCCAGTTAATTACAGATGCGCCACTTGCTGAAGATACGGATCCCGATCATCCTTTAAGGAAGACACATTACCTGTTTGGCGATTCTGTGACGGATCCAGATATCATAAAGCTCGAAGATGATCGGTGGTTACACAGTGATGGCACAACTTGGTTATACCTTCCCCCATTTCCTCGTCATCGTTCGCAAACAGAATTACGGGGGCAGGCGGTGACGCGACAGATGCCTTGGACTTTGACAGAAGAGCACACCAATATCCCTTGCGGATTTGTCTCCAACCATTCACTCCCGGGTTCTAATGGCAGAAAACATATTACAGGGTTACACCCCGGTGTGATGGGATTGGAGGACCCGTCTAAAGGGGAAATACCTATAATAGCTCGTACAGTGAAGAATCGCCTTGCTTAGCTAGAGCGAGAGTTACCTATTGAAAATTACAGGTGTCATGGCTGGTCTCATTCTTCAGACAAATCATGGTGGGGGAGGATGACAGGTTATGTCCCCCACCGATGGGGTGCTGAGTTAAAGTTAATAAGATTGTATGAAGCTATCCGGGCCACGCAATACGGATTACCGGTGAACGCTCTTCACTTCATGGGGTTAATAAAGTTGTACAATCCAGATACTAACACCTTTCTTACACGGAACAGAGATTTGGGATTACCCTTTCATGAGATGCATAAAGTCTCCGGACTGCAACTGGGAGATATACCATATCAAGAATATTTTCCCTCCAACCGGGAGCTCCATCAATTGAAGATCCATAAGCCTGTTCGATACGACACGTTATGGGAACTCACGTGTCATTATCAAATTGCTATAGCCGGAACTAACCCGGTTGCGATGAAGAAGTTTCCTCAAATAAGCTTGAAACAATTCTCTTGCTACTTATTTAAGAACTTGGAGAAACTCAATGAGGAAGTTTGTGAGTTGCAACCGCTGACTTCCCCGGAGATTAACAGATTGATTGAGAAGTGCGGTGCCCGCTCTTATACCACCGCGAGTGCTCAAGACAAATTCCTTGGATTAAATTCAAAACCTTTTTATGGTACGCCCAAAAGCCCATTCATCCTAAAACTTTATTGACTGGTTATATAGCACTTTGGTTGAAGAAGTGTGTAGTACCATATTAGACCTCAGATGCCCTGCCGATAGAGGTACTATTCCCGGCTGTCCAGCTTGCTTATGGGAGAAACCTATCTCTTTTTCCAGCAATGATCGCCGACATACATCGCGGGCTTCCTCAGGTGGTCACCGCTTTTGCTCAAACTGATGAGACCCCATCCACGAAGATTCCTATGACGAAGGCAGAACTCCCTTATGCATATCTGATGGGGTGGTTGGTTCTTTGTCGCCCTGATCTGATGTCGCCCCCTACTAATGTGAATCTATCTACTCCTCTGCTACAATTGTTCGAAGGGTGTAGGTGGAAAGCTCGGGACTTCTCGGAAGTCAGGAAAGGTTTGCACCTGCACAAGGGCTGGGTAATCAACCCATGTCTCCCTCTCTTCGACAGCAAATATGATGGGATGCTTACTGACATAGAAGTGCCCGGAACCGATCGGACTTCTCTCGATGTTGGATGCTTCAGGTGGCTCATGAATATAAGGCCTGGCCATCTTGTTTTCCGAGTAAAGGGGTGCTGTTATTTAGAGCCCTATTTGCCGTGCCGGTTCGCCCGTCAATTCGGGTACGACCAGTTATATGTCGGGAATCCGAACCAACAGTTCCATACTCGCGGCGGACTAGTGGACGGCGTTCGCGCTTGGCTATGGAATGTGACGGGCTGTACTGAGGCCAAGTTCAGTCTTCCAAATACCGATCGCCACTTAGAGCTCACATATTTATGCTGCAAATGGATTATGGCAGATGTAATAATTAATATTTTTATACAAGGTTTTATAGGAGGTCCACAATTATTTTATGTTGTAGAAAGCTTTATGAATAGCCCACATCATGTTAAAAAAATGAGGGTTCTCAAAGGCCCACCTAGAAAGCCCACTTCACCCATGTTTTCGTTTGAGAGATTCATGATGATTCTTTTTCTTTTTTGGAATTTTTTTAAAATCAAAATCCCGTGATTTTGGCTCCCAAATTAAAAAAAAACGTGGGATTCTTTTTTTTTGTAGTTTCCTTGTTTGTTTTTACCCATTTTACCAAATTTAAAAACAAATTCCTTAATTTTAGGAATTTTTTAATTTTTACTTTCCCCTTTATATATATCCTCACTTCTTCTTTCATAAAAAAAACGAAAAAAAGAGAAAATAAGCAATAGAGAACAAGAGAAGGAAAGGAGACAACATTTGGATTTTTTTTTCTTTTGGAGTTTATAGTCTTTTCTTCGACAAATCGGCAAGCATTCTTTTCCTCAAATATTATTATTTTTAGATTATTATTTTAGATTTTTTTTCATTCATGCAACATTTTTTTTCACTCGATTATATATATATTTTTCTATGAAATTTTAATATTTGTGAGTCATCAAGGTGTTGTATGTATATGATAATAGGTTGAATGGCATTTGTTGTAATTATTTTGATGGCATGAGCTGTAAATACTTTGATGGCATGAACTGTAAATAAATAAAACTTTATGACAATATACATAGCCGGTCATTGATGTAGAGTTTTAATATTTGTAAGTTATCAAGGTGCTGTATGTTGATATGATAATAAGTTGAATGACATTCGTTGTAATTATTTTGATGGCATGAGCTGTAATTAGAGAGATTGCATGAGCTATAATTAATTTGAAGTTCATGCCTCTCCAAGGGCAAGAGCTGTAAATAAGTATGACCAAAATGGTTCCATCTTTGGGATCTTGTACCTTTAATATACAGTTAGTTATGGTCATGTATATAGATTTTGTTTCTTTTTCATTTGTGTGATTATTAAACTTTCGGTAATAGCATGCAATTGACAAGGCTTGAGGGTAACATGGTTAGATATTTTGTGTCCGATGTAGTAGTCAATGGTTTGACCCTTTAAAACCATTCACTTTTTTTTCTTCTCCGTATAATCCTAGGTTTCCAAAAAAAAAAACAGATTTGTTGCTTTATAAATCACTTCTTTTGGTCATGTCTTTTTGGTTATAAAAAAAATTATTTTGACTATTAGTTTGTTTACTAAATTTTAGACTTATATTATTTATCAAATTCTCTCTTTTTGTCCTTTAAAAATATTAGTTCTCGTACCAGTTTTTTTACTTATATTTATTTTAGTGAACTTGTCAACTCATTTTGTGTACCTTGTTATGCTATGAAATAGATTGTGTGGTTGAAATCGGTGTTAATCAGTAAATGCCATCAAATAGGCTAGACTGTGCATGAAGACGTCTTCCGTCCAAAAATATGATTTATAAGCGTGTTTTTTATAGCATGGCTATGCTCTCGATATCGATATCCCGATATGAGATTTTGCTTGGCTATTATTATTATAGCATCGACTAGACGATGCACTCCTCTTGATTAGACATGTTTTGGACCACGGTTATCTTTCATAATTTTATGGAAGCCGTTCCATGGAATCACTGTGGTTAGTACACAACATTTCATGCACAGTTACTTAGATTAAACAGACAACATGGGGTTTAATAAAAGGAGAATTGGACGGAGAATATAACACGTATATAAGCGGGTTTGTGCACATTCTTGATATCCTGGTATATATATGTATATATATGAGAACTAAGGGCCCATCATGACTTGAAGCCGTGTTCCCGGGACGGTTTACGGGAAACCGACTTATATACATGAAATATTCTTCTCTAATTCAAATAACATCTAAAACAGTAATAACAGGCTTGTGTGTCTTGTGGTTGACCTATTTGATATCTATAATTAGCATTTTTTTTCTATTACCGTTAATTGAGTTTTTATTATTTTTCCATGCCACATTACACTTATACGTGCACTATTCCTTCATTTTACATGCTTGTTGGGAGTTTCCTGACTCCCCTGGGTTTGTATGCCCCAAATTCGGGAACTGTTCTTTCTTCGTAGGACCGAGAGTATTTCGAGGAGCAGGTTCAGCTGGAGTGATCACCGTTCCTTCTATCAGTTCTCCAGTTCAGTTGTTTTAGGTAGTTATTTTGGTTCAGGTTTTTCTTTAGCCACAGTTGTCTCTCCAGACTATGGTGTATTTTTTTCCTTTCTCTTTAGAGATTTGTGGACTTGTTATAGAACTATGGAAATTTCTGATATTTCTTTATCTATACATTCCATTTTATTTTCTTGGTTACATGCTCTTTGGTATAGTTTTCATTTTATATGTATACAGGATGATCTAGAGGCGTGAATGTGACTGTTACATGCTCTTTGGTATAGTTTTCATTTTATATGTATACAGGATGATCTAGAGGCGTGAATGTGACTGTATGGTTGCATTAACGGCCGAGTCACGCTCCAAACTATTACATTTTGGAACCAGGGCGTAACAGCAGCCACCGAGCCCGTTCCTCTAAGATCAATTAAGGAATTAATGGCCGAAGTTGCATCGCGTATTACTGAGAAGATTGTTCGAGAAAATATACAGGAACAGAGGAAACGCAACCATAAACTCGCTAGTCCCTCAGGCAAGGGTAAGCAAAAAGTGGAGGAAGTAGAAGAGAGATCTTTTGCTTCCAACGAGGAGACTTCCGAAGAGGATGAAATCGCTGTTGGTGGTTCTATGGAGGTCAACAGCGACTTTGAGGAACACGCAGCAGGTTTGTCTGAGTCTTTTTATAAAGAGCTATGGGATCTATCGATCGCTGATCGAGTTTGCCGACTTAAAGATCGAAAGAAGTGGAGAATTTTGCCTACTTATAATAGAATGATGGTTGAACTTTCAGATGTAGGTTCCAAGGAGGAAGAGGAGAGAGGTGGCCTCATCACCCGTACTCAATCTCGGGCCATAGCTCAGGTAGGATTGCAAATTGAGCTGCATGCCATATCAACACAAGATAGACTTGTAGATCTCCAAGAGACCCGACCCACAAAACGGCTGAAGTTGACCATCAAGCGCCACGCTAAACCTCAGGCTTCTCAAACGGAGGCGGCCGGCGATGCACCCATTGGTGGGGAAGGTAATGTTCCAACTCTTGTCATCTTTTCAATATTTTCTTCTACCAAGCTTTAGACTTAGCAGATTTTCTTTTCTAGAGGGTCATGATGAAGATGCAATGATGTACAACCCTCCTTCTCCCGACTTAGACTTTTTTGGAGGGTCATGCTTTGTGCCACAAGCAGATGAGGCCGTGGGTCAGGATTTGGTGAGTGTTGGAACTGATTTGTCCATGGTGGTTGCTAGCCCAGGTACTCCTATTACCGGTAGTACACCTTTTAGATGGCAATCTCGGGTATTAAACGACTCAGAATTCATCCCTCCTCTAATTGCTTACATGCTTCTGGCTCTTTTAGAAAAGCTACAGGAGGCGATTGTTGACGTTAGGATTGAAGAGCATGCCGTCATCACCGGAGGTGAATTTAATTCTCTTTCCATGTCTTAACACTTAGAATTTTCTTCAGATGTTTCAATAGAAGGCCCAAATGATAAAGAAACCTTTCATCATGCAGCCGATGCACCTCCATCTCATCCCATACAGGACCCTTCAGGTTCTGGCGACAGGCTACTTGATGACATGTTGTCAGAACAAACTTGTCGTGGTGCTATTGAACCGGTTATGGAAACAGCTAAACCGGTCATCGAAACTGTTGAACCAGTCCTCGAGACTGTTGAACCAGTCATCGAGCCCGGTTCCTCTGCAGGTATGGATTTTGTCCTTCTGTGAAAGTTATTCCCTTATCAGTTTTACTTAGCCTTAAGGGAGTCATACAGGTATGGATTTTGTCCTTCTGTGAAAGTTATTCCCTTATCAGTTTTACTTAGCCTTAAGGGAGTCATACTTGTAGGACCAGTCGTTAAGACCCTTATCAGTTTTACTTAGCCTTAAGGGAGTCATACTTGTAGGACCAGTCGTTAAGACTGATGCAACTATTATAGAAACTCAGTCGTCAGTGGCTAAAACTCAGCACACGATCCTGGCAACCGAGATGACTACTACAGCTACGGGGATCAGTCCGGTTGAACAAATCGCAAGACCAACTGAAGAAGTCGGCACATCTACGACTATTACGTCTGCAATAACTCCAAGGACTCATGCAAGCGTGCAAGGGGTGTCGAACGCAGAGCGTCAAACTGAAGAGCCTTCCATAGTTATTGGTGAGCCCTGTTTTCGACATTTATCTTGAAACTATTCGGACTAAGATTCCTAAATAGTTACTCTTCTTTTTAGGGCTCTCAACTCAGCTTTATGATCTCGTCACGGCACTACTATCCAATAACGACCCAGATAAAATTCTCCTTCGCATGGAAATTCGTTCTTTCTTCTCGTTCGTGAACGAGATGGTTGATAATCTTCTCCGCAACGGGCTTTCTATTGGTCTCTTCAAGTCATATCTCGACAACCAAGTGACTTTTCTAAGGAGTCAAGGGTATTCAGACCTGGCGGACGTTATTACTGCAAACTTGGTTCGCCTTGAGTGCGAACTTGAAAAACTGAAGGAGTTTCAGGCAGCCGGAGTTTCTTCATATGTGGCCGCTCAGATGGAAGCCAAGTTACAAGCATGGCATGAAGCTCAAGTATCTGCTGATTCTAAGATTCAGGAAGCGGAGGGTCTTGTTCACCAACTGGAAGCTGCTTGTGCTGGCAAGTCGGCAACTCTTTGCAATATTGACTCCTCTCTTGTGTCAGGTGATGCCACCATAGCACGACTCAAGCTAGAGTTAAAAGCAGTGAAGGATGCTCAAGCTGCTTTGAAGATGACAAGAGTACATGTGGAGCGCGCTCGAGAGGACATGTCCGGGCAACTGGCACTTACTAAAGAGAAGTTGGCTACGATGAAAGCAGAAGCCGGGAAGGTATTGGCTGCTGATGAAGACTCTATGAAGACCACGATACGGAGCGAGCTTGAGCAAGCTTATACTGTGGAATTATCTAAGTTGGAGCAGCAAGTTCTTAGCCATAAGCTTTATGTAGATTAATTGTAACTTTTGTACCTGCAAACTCAATTTTTTTAATAGAAGATATATTTTTTTGTTCATTATACCTCTTTTATTATGATGTCTTATTCTGTTTGGAATAATCAACCATAATATTTTGTTCATTATACCTCTTTTATTATGATGTCTTATTCTGTTTGGAATAATCAACCATAATATTTATAGGATTTTTGGCAAACCCTCAGCCTTCAAGATGTCTTATTCTGTTTGGAATAATCAACCATAATATTTATAGGATTTTTGGCAAACCCTCAGCCTTCAATGGGTTTGATGAGCCTTTACCGATTACCGTTTGAGTCGGGCTAGCATGTGAATTATTAGAACCCGTTTCACATGTAACGTTGTGCTAAGAGAATTAATTCTTCATAGACTTAATGCTATGACTTTGCATGCATAGACTTTACCATTTCTCACAGAAATATGGTATCCGGCAACGCGTGTTAGGCGCAGACTTAGGATTTTTGACAAATCCTCAGCCTTCAACGGATTTGATATGCCTTTACCGATTATCGTTTGAATCGGGCTAGCATGTGAATTATTAGAACCCGTTTCACATGTAACGTTGTGCTAATAGAGTTAATTCTTCTTAGACTTAATGCTATGACTTTGAATATATAGACTTCACCATTTCTTACGGGAATATGGCACCCGGCAATGCGTGTTAGGCGCTGACTCATCCCTACTTAGGATTCGGGAGAAAAGTCTCCAGACTCGTATTCTGGTGTCTTTTTCCACTCAGTGAAAGACTAAACTGGCTACGCGTGTTAGGCGTAGGCTTATCTCTATTTAGGAGTCGAGATAAAATTCTCCGTGCATAAAGTGCGCGGATTTGAAGTTGAGAATTGTGTCTTTTCTCAGGGTAAAGACAAACCCGATGCTGAAGAGGAAGAATTTATATTCTGTCCCCAAGTCTTGTTTAGGGTAAAGACGAACCCAAAAATGGAAGAGGAAGAATTTTATATTCTATCTTCCAACACTAAAGAGGAAGAATTTTATATTCTATGTCCAGTTGGAAACGAAACTCGAGGTGGGATCTCCACCCTCAGAATCCGAAAAGATGAAACTAGGAGTGAGATCTTCACTCCGAGAATCGGAAAGATTCAAACAACCCTAACTTTTATAGGATTTGTTGCTTGATCCAAGAAAAGAGTTCCTCATTGATTGAGGGAAAATTCCGATTTTGACCCTAACTTTTATAGGTTTGGCTGAAAAGGAAAAGATGGAAGTTTTTCGTTTATCGAAAGGGATGACTCGATCTTAGTCCTAACTATCTGCAGGTATGACCAAGTGAGGTTGGAGACAATCCTAACTTTTATAGGTTTGATTGCTCAAATTGAAAGTGGACCTCTCGTTCATGGAAGGAAATGAGAGGGGAAACTGGCTTTGGCCCTAACTTTTATAGGCTTGGCCTGAAAGCAAAGAGAGAGGAATACATGTAGCAGTAGAAATACTGGTTTGTACTAGCTATTCGATGGGGGATTTTGATGTTAAGTGATCAGGACTTAATACGTTAAGTTTTGAGAATTGCCATGAATTGCCGGATAGAAATTTTGGTGGGCCCACCGTCGATTGATTCGATCAGTAGGAGATTTTGTGAGGAAAGATTGATCTGTCAAAAAGGGCGAATCTCGCCTCAGCAAAAGAATTCATGAGAATTAGTGAATTTGACATCAACAATAAAATACGCTTTAACTTTGAATACATTCAGAGTCTAAGTGTGAATTTCTTATTCATTACTTCCATAGCAACTGGGTTATCCCTAAGAATACCACATGTAGTATTCTTCTGGGAACTTCTCGGTATATTGGTTATCCTGAATATACTAAGGGTAGTATTTTTTCAGAAACTTGCCGTTTATCGGCATCATAAGTCGGTCGCCTTCCTTAGTAATAAGGCGATATGCGCCACTCGAGTAGACTGTCTTTACTACGAACAGCCCTTCCCATTTGGGTTCAAATTTGCCTTTCTTCTTGGAGTTAAGGATCATAGGCCGTCATTCGGTTAAGACTAAATCTCCTTCTTTAAAACTCCATTGTCGAACCTTCTTGTCGAAAGCTCGAGAACTTTTGGCTTGGTAGAATTCAATGTACTGTTGAGTCTCCAAGCGTTTTTCGTCGAGCATCTCGAGTTCTTTGAGACGTTTCTGATGTTGTTCTTCGGTCGTCATCTGGGATGCGAGAGCGATTCGAAAAGATGGAATTTGAATTTCCAACAGAAGGACAGCTTCACACCCGTACACCAAAGAATATGGGGTTGTGCCGGCAGGCGTGTGAACTGTGGTACGGTAAGCCCATAGTGCTTTGCCGAGTTTATCATCCCAATCTCGTTTGTTAGTCTTCACGAGTTTTGATAGAAACTTGATGATAGTCTTGTTAAAAGCTTCAGCTAATCCGTTTGCTGTGGGATTATAAGCTGTTGATGAGACGTCTTGAATTTTAAACTTCTCGCAAAATCTGATGAATGCATTACTGACAAACTGAGGACCGTTGTCATGTATGATTCGCCTTGGGACACCATACCGGTAGATAATGTGGTGCTTAATGAACGCAATGACGTTGTTCGTCTTCACTTCTTTGAGCGGAATTGCTTCAGCCCACTTGGAGAAGTAATCAGTAATTGCTAGAATGAATCGATCACCTTTGACTGACGGGGGATTTATAGGACCAATAATATCCATTCCCCAAGTCTCAAAAGGCCATGATGTAGCCGAAGGATGCAAATGCTCCGGGGGTTGGTGCATATAATTCGCGTGCACTTGACACGCGTGACACTTTCGGGCATATGCGACCGCATCTTTGATCATGGTAGGCCAATAATATCACATTCTTCTGATGCGGTCATAAAGTTTGGGGCCAAGTTGGTGTGCATCACAAACCCCTTCGTGCGTCTCTTTCAGGACTTCTTCTGCTTCTTTAATCGATAAACAACATAGTAGTAAGCCATTGTACCCCCTTCGATATAGCGTTCGACTCTCCGTATTATAGTAGAATCTCGGTACTCTTCGTCAGATTGAGTCCCTTTCCTTCACGTCTTCTGGTAAGATTCCATGCAAGACGTAATCGATGATAGGGAAACGCTAATCTCGGGGTTCGAAATCGACTTGAGTTGA